GTTTCTAATTTAGGGATTCCCAGCATTTGGGGAGTTTTACAATATCTTATACACTTCCCCTTTCCTTTCACTGCCCTGTCCCAGAAGTTTTGGGCGTGAATTTAAGAAAAGTGAATTGGGATTTTGAGATATAACGGGAGATACCCTTAAGATGACCTAAAACCATGGCAAGAATTACTGAACTACTTACTGTCAGTTAAAACATTTTCTAAAGTAGTCCTCGTGTAGAATTGGCATTTGGAAACCATAATAGGGGAGCACCTGGCTGGCTCAGACCGAAGATCCTGCAACTCTTGATCTCAGGGTGGTGAGTTCGAGCCCCATGTTGGGCGTAGAGATTTTACTTAAGTAAATGAATAAATAAAAACTTAAGAAAAAAGTAAAACAAAACAAAACAGTAGATTGAATTGAGATTTCCCAAAAGAATGAGCTTATTTAGCTCCACATCCAGATATTGGTATTTTATAATTATATAATGTAAGATTTGGGAAGCTCCCCTTCCCCGTTTCGACATTTACTTTTCTGATGGGATAGAAAGTGGTAAATAGCAAATAACCAAAAAGAGAATTAGGGAAGGACTCTAGGGCACTTCCCTCCTCTTCCAAATGATCCTCATCTCTATTCCATATTTCTTCCAAGCTGATAATGTTTTCGAATGTCGAAGACTTACCAAGTCTTCAACAGATAAAATCTTTAATTAAAAAGTCGCTGCTTTCTGTAATGCTTTATTTTTTCAACTTACATGGACTGAGTGTCCGTTGACCTGAACAGCCTTCCGCTAGGCATTGTGGGGAAGGCTGAGAAGTGCCTTGCCCTCAAGGAATGTGCAGTTTGGTTGGAGGGATACAAAGTAGCACACATTTAAGTGCTAAATGAATGGAACATATGAGTGCTTTAGGCCATTCAGGAAATAGATGAATGGATTTGAAGTATTCATAACAGATTTTAGTAGGCAGATGAAGGAGTAAATTTTTCTAGATAAGGCAAATGGTGTCAGTAGGAGCATAGAGGCAGAGATTAATAAGTGGATGGGCTGGTAAATAAATAAAATTAAATAAGTGGGTATGCTGATATTTGCCAGTCAAAATGGTTTATGCTTGGGAGTAGTGGAAGTTAAGTTAGAGATGGAAAATATTGGTTTCACTAAGAGAAATAAAAAGAAGGGCTGGTTTGGACTGAGGGGAAAAAAAAAACCCACAAAAAAACATGGTTACCTGCTACATTTAGGTTGTTGGCAGGACATGTGGGCTGTACCGTCCAAAGTACATAATTGTTGCTGTATAAACTGACCAGGGCTGCAGTTTGTTCACCTTTGCTCCAAGGGGGGCTGGGTTGGGGGTTATTAGAAAGCTTTGCACAGGGGCACCTGGGTGCCTCTGTTGGTTGAGCATCTGCCTTAGGCTCAGGTCATGATCCCAGCTCAGTGGGGAGTCTGCTTCTCCCTCTCTCTTTGCCCCCCCTCCACCCCGCCCCGTTCATGCTCTCTTCCTTTCCTCTCACTCTCTCTTTCAAATCAACCAATCTCTCTCTTTCTCTCTCTCTCTTTTTTTTAAAGGAAGGCTTTGAACATTCAGCTTTGTTCCTTTCAGGCACGAGGGGAGTACTTGCTCTCAGAGCATTCCCAGTCCTCAAAGGGCCCATGAAGTAGTCAGGAAGTATAATTTTAATAGAATTAGCTGAAAGATGAGCAAATGTCAGGTGGTGGTTTGGTAGTATGTCATTGCTGCTAACTTTGACATGCTAAGTGTGACATTATTAATAGCTTTTATGCAGGGCTCAGAGGATTAACACTTAGCAAATTAGATTCCTTAGTTTTTACACTGCTCTTACATTTTGAGCTATATTACCTTGGGCAAACCATTTAACCTCTCTGTGCCTTGCCTTCCTGTCCATATAATAGAAATCTTATTGTGGCAGCATTCATAAACATTTTGAAAGATACAGATAAAAAGAATTATAGGGTTCTCCCCTGTGACCCCCACTCCAAAGACAATCTTTCAAAAGTTCCTCCATTTTGTTGAATTTTTTCAATTGCTAACTAAGTTAATTAGCATTTTTTAAAAATGCATTTACCAGTACAGAGCTGAAAAATGTAGACTATAGCTGCCTTTTTTACCTTCTGGGCCTGCTTATTCTGCTGACCTCCTTTATTCAGTGGCCGGTGTCACTGGACTCTCATCTCTAGGCTCCTGGATCTCTCCCAACCCATAACAGAAGGGACTTCAAGTTCTGTATTAAATATCTGGGAAGTCAACACAAGGCAACTGCCATCAATGTGAAATTTGGTCTCAGTTCTAGGCATTAAGCTCTTTCTTTGCTTCTAAGTCTCCCTCGGTCTGTCAAATCTGGCCTTTGGATACTTGTCTTGTAGCCCTGAACCCAAGTCCTTGCCCTGCAAACTTGCTCAGCACATTATCTCAAGGACCTGGATTCTTTCATCAGTCCTTTATAGGGAGAGGAATCCAGACCTGGATTCTTTAATTAAAAAGTCGCTGCTTTCTGGAAGAAAGCACTGAAGCTGGGGCTTTGCTATAAGTAGCACATTTTCTTAATTCTTGCCATGATTTCCCAATTTTTGTCTGCTGCTGGACTGCCCAAGGTTGTGTTCCAGCTGCCCACTGACTTACAACACTTGCCTTCTCTGTGTTGAACCAGCCTCCTGCTGGCTGCGTTCCTGGCTACAGCCCATTATTCCACACTCTCCAGATACTGTCTTCTGGCTGCTTGCTCATCATGCCAGCTGGGTCTGCCTCCGATTCCATGATGTATCTAGGTCTGGTCTCCACTTCTTCCAATCTACCTCACCCTTATTACAGTTAATCCTTTTACATTAAACTAAAGCAGATATTTGCTGGTATGGAAACTGAAGTGGTATTGGAATTTTATCCTTGTTTACATCTTTGTTTGTGTTGGAAGAGCTCGGGATCACTTTCAAAACCGGCTCAGAGAGCTTTCCTGTCTCTTCTAGGAGAAACAAATGAACACTTGACAATACTTTGTATTTAAGACCAAGGCTCAAGGCATTTATTTCAATTGTAAAATTGCCTTATTTAAGCTTTCAGACATACTCATATATTTTAAAGTATATTTTGGCCAGTGTTCATTCATGTCTCACAATGCGAAGGTGCTCGGAACTTGATGGCTTTGTGGTTATAAGGAAATCAAGTAATCAAGACTGGGGGATAGTGTCCTACAATGGTAGTTTCAACCTTTCTGGCACACTGGAATATTTTGAAGGGCTTGTTAAAACAGATTGCTGGGTCCCACACCCAGAGCTTCTCTGGAGTGTTGCCTGAGAATTTGCATTTCTGACAGAGTTCTCAGACAATGTTGACACAATTGCTCCTGGGATTACACTTGGAGAATGATTGGTCATAACGTTGAAACGGGCCACAGGTAACCAAAAGCTGCGGGGCAGTGTTGATCAGTTCCAAATTCTTGTCTGAACGGATAAGGTGGAGGGTGCTGAGAAATAAGTTTCTAATTCCAGTCGGTGCAATTAGAACGACTGATGGCTTCAGAGGTCTTCTCGACCACGATTACGTAGGAGAACGTGGGCACTTACTTTCTTTGCACTTCGGCTTCCTCACCCATGAAGTAATATCCTCTATGCTGCTGCGACCTGAGCGTTGTGCAGGTCAAATGAAATGGGTAGGAAAATGTTTGAACTCTAGAGTGGGATGGCACCAGGAGGTATTACAATGGTTTTTCAATACTCTTCTTAAAACAGCACCAGTTTTTTTGGCTTTCTTGCTTTTTCATTAATTATAGCAGTTTTAATCCAGGAATATCGAATACTTTTATTGCTATAATAAACTCAGAGGGGAAAAAATTAATTCAATGAGATCAGACATGCCTTATAAACATTACAAAGAGCCAGAAATGATTCCCAGTGTACAGCAGTAAAATAGAGAACTGCCAGACCCTATCGTGACTTGGGGTGGAGTCACAGTTAATCTTTCAACGCTGTTTAGATTGGTCCACTTATAAAAATGGCTATGTTACGGCACGTTAAAACATAAAATCACCGTGTAGAGTGATAAATCTGTCTACCCCAACCTGTTCCATCGCTTGAAATTTCTATTAATTTATCTGCCTTTGGAAGTAGTAAATCCTTCCAACCCTGGCGTGGCTATTTTTCTCACCCGAGGGCCTCCAGCTCGTGCCAAGGGCCAACACAGTTCTTGCTCACATTGGGCGCATTTGTGACTTTTCATTAGTCACCAGCTGTATAGAATTCTCCCGGGCCTTTAATAAGCATCGCAGATAGTAGCCTCCCTGTTCCCAGGTGTTCCATAAACATCATAAAACGTCGGCCAGGATGCTGACGAGGTTCTAGAGAAAGGGTTTGGGAGAGTGAAGACTCGCATTAGGTACCGGTCAACGCACCCGGCAGGGTGGTTCTCCCCGCGCAGAAAAGGGGTGTCCCAGAGCCCGCCCCCGTGGCTCCGTCCGCGTCCGCGTCTGCGCGCGCTTCTCCCGGGCGCCGGCAGGAGGCGCCCGTGGTGGCCCAGGTGCTGCGCGCACCCGCGGGGAGCCGGCCCCGGGGGGCGGAGGGAGAGGAGAGGAGGGGCTGGAGGGGGCGCGGCTTGCTCCGGGTCCCTCCCGGGCGCCGGGCCTCCCCGTCCGCCGGGTCCGAGGCTGGTGGCCGGCGGGGGTCGCGGCGACGGCGGCGGCGCTGGCGGGCCGCGGGCGCGGGGGCCTGGCTCTGGCTCCGGGTGTTAGGAGACAAGATGGCGGCGGCGCTGTGGAGGCTGGTCTCCTCCTCTTCTCCGCTCTCCTCCGCCCCGCCGCTCGCCGCCTCCTCGGTCTCCTCCTCCTCCTCGTTAGCTGCCTCCTCCTCCTCCTGCAGCAGCCCTAGCGACCGCCGGAGCGCCGGCCCGCTCTCCCGGAGCTCCGGAGGGGGATAGACGGGGCAGCTGCGGGCTCCGGCGACCGAGGCCGAGCTGGGGCCGGGGCGGGGGCGGCGGCGGCGGCGGCGGCGGCGGCGCCGGGTGGGGATGGGGTCGCAGACGCTGCAGATCCTCCGGCAGGGGGTGTGGGCCGCGCTCAGCGGGGGCTGGTACTACGACCCGCACCAGGCCACCTTCGTGAACGCGCTGCACCTCTACCTGTGGCTCTTTCTGCTCGGCCTGCCCTTCACCCTCTACATGGTGAGTGTGGGGGCGGGGAGGAGGGTGGCCCCTTCCCGCTTCCCCTCGTCGGGGACCGGGAAGCGCTGGCGTTCCAGAGTCCGGCGGGTGCTCGCGCCTCCCGGGCTCCGGGCCGGGGTCGCGCCCTCTACTCTCCCCGGCGCGCGCCCGCCGCCCCCTCGGGGCCCGCTGCCCCACCGGCTGTGGTGCTCCCCTCCCCCACCGAGTCCCCACTCTCTCCTCTTTAGGGTGTCCCCTATGGCGGTGATGACAGGAGGGACGAAGCAGCAGCAGCAGCCCCCACCTGGCTCTCCCGTGTGCCCCACCCTTTTACGGGGAAATAGTGGCCTTCTGGGCCCGGCCTTAGGGGGTCCTGAACCTGTAGCCCCTCCAGCCTGTCCCCCCGGGAGGAAAGCCAAATTAGGGCTCCCTGCCCTCCACGTTTTGTGGCAGGCGCTGAGCACTCTGCTCCTGAGGGACGCCGCATTCATCCTTGGCACGCGTGCTTATTTGCGCTCCGTTCCCCGGGCGCCCGGGCACCCCTTGGGCACTCCCTTCACCCGAGGCGGTTCGCTCTCCTCTCCACCTCGCCTCTAATCCGCGTGCGGGGGCCCTCGGAGCGGGAGGAGAACGCGCGCGGCTCTGTTGGGAACGTGATTGTGGGGCGGCCGGCTCTGACTCGAGAGTATATGGTGGCGGAAAACCCGGCTCCTAACCTCCGTGCCTCTAAAAATCATTGTTTTTGCTTACCACTGGTTCTTTTCTGTTCAGCTCTGTGGTCACTGGCTGCTGTGTTTCCAGGCCAGCTTTGGGGGGGGGGGGGGGGGGGGGGCGGGGGAGATACGGGGAATCTGGCTGGCATTTCAGATTTGTTTGGATTCGTTCAAGGCCGTTTACTGATAGGAAAAAGGAAGTACTGCCTGTTGCTGAATTCAGTGCGATCAGCTTCTCAGAATGATCTACGCTGTATTTTCGCTGGAAGTTGTACGCGCATTTTTTTTTTTTTAACACATTAGGTTAGGGTGGGGCATGAGAGAAACTCGTGGAAGAGAGATGATACTTAAATTTCAGTTATTTATTTTCTTTTAAGGTTCAGTTAAGTTTTTAAAGTAACCGGAAGGCAGGACAGGGTGAAAACTTTTTATTTTAGAATTCCTTTTAGTTTCTGTCAACTTTGTGGCTCTTCCTGGAGCTATATAGTACGGGTGCTGGATTAGAAAGTCTGGGAGTACGCCTAAGAAGTGCTAAAGTGAGGATACCCAGTTCTTCCCTAAGTGAAGCTCCTTTTCACTGATTGGCAGGAAAAGTGCCAGCTTGGGGGAAGATGTGCGAAATTTCACATTCTCAGGCAGATTTTAGTTTTTCATTAAACTTGTTTTGAAGGGACTTATGCGGGAGGTAAAAAAAAAAAAAAGGATAAAAAAATGCTGATGACTGATGACTTATTTTTTTAGGGGACTTGTTCAGTCTTGTCCCATTCTGAAAATTTATCATGAAGTGTTATAATTTTCAATTAATTCTGGCTTAGGGGGTTCTGTTTGCACTGCTCTGCCTTCCAGGAATATGACATCATTAAGGAACAGGTTAATTACTTCAGGTGTAAGAATCCTCAGGCTGTCACAGAGCTTTCATAGCAGATTTCTCTTCTATCCAGGAGAATTGTAAATTTAAAACTGAAACTGGGGGGCACCTGGGTGGCTCAGTGGGTTAAAGCCTCTGCTTTTGGCTCAGGTCATGATCCCAGTGTTCTGGGATCGAGCCCCACATCCGGCTCTCTGCTCTGCAGGGAGCCTGCTTCCACCTCTCTGTCTGCCTCTCTGCCTGCTTGTGATCTCTGTCTGTCAAATAAATAAATAAAATCTTTAAAAAAATCATGTAAAACTGAAACTGGTACTTGAGATGTGAGGATTAGTTGCTGTGTTGCTGTGTGCTGTGTAGTGTTTCCTTGTAAGCACGTGAACTGTGTTAGCGGCTAAGTCTTTGTATAATTAGCAAACATTACTAAAGGAAATTAGAACAAATAGAAAGCAATACATTGAGTTTACCTTTTCATTTTGGGAGTTTATTCAGTTAAATTTAATTCACAAGCATTTGAGTGTCTACTGTGTGCTGGGCAGTTTGCTGGATTGTGGGAAAATTGCTTCACTGACTTTATTGTCTTGTTAATGGCAAGTCTGCTTTTCCTAATCTTTTAAAATATCTCCTTGGTTCATCTTTCTCTCTTTTCACATCCAGTTCATCGAATCTTGTGGGTTCTCTCTTCAAAACGTAACTCAAGCCCAGTTAATCATCATCATCATCACTCACTTGGTTCAGGCTACCATTATGGCTCCCCTGAATTATTGCAGGGTTTTAATGAGGTTCACTGCTTTTATTCTTTATTCTCTCTTCTTGTTACAGAAATCTGAGTGATTCTTTAAAACGTGAATCCGATCATGGCACTCTTCTGCTCTCAGAGCCTGCCCTCCCATGTGTCTCTATTATGCCTCACCCCTTTGCCTTCTTAGAATTTTTCCCACATAATAACTAATGTTCCTGCCTCAGGGCTTTTGGGCTTGTCTCCCCCCAACCCACCATGACTCCTACCCTCCAGATATCTGTGTGACTTGCTCCACTTACTTAGAATTCAGTTATATGTGAAGCTCTCCCTGATAACCCTATGTAACATAGCAACCTTCCCCCTCCTACAGTATTTTCTAGCCTTCCTTCCCTCCTTTTTTTTTCCACTATCTCTTATCACTAATTGATACATGTTAGTATCTCCTATCTCATTGGAGTATTAGCTTTGAGGAGGGCAGAGACTTTACTTTGTTCACTGCTGTGTTGTCAGGACCTAGATCAGTGCCAGGCACATAGTAATCACGCAGATATTGAATGATCAGAAGTGTACAAGACACAGCTGCCTTCAAGGAACTTGAAGTCTATCTAGCTTGGGGGTAAGGAACAATTTACAAGCATTAAAACTGTTGTGAAAAGGTAAGTACAGAGTGACCTTGAGTTTATAGTCAGGATTGATTCTAGTCAGGGCAGTCAGCAAAGATGATTTGTCAACATTTTCATTTATTTTATTTATTCATCTGAGGTTTTATTTATTCATCAGAGAGAGAGAGAGAGTGCGCATGTGAGGCAGGGGGAGGGACAGACTGAGAAGCAAACTTCCTCCAGAGCAGGGAGCTGGACATGGGGCTTGATCCCAGGACTGGTTCATGACCTGGGCCCAAGGCAGAGGCTTAACCGACTAAGCCACCCAGGTATCCTGATTTGTCAGCATTTTCAGAAACATTATTAGTTCTGCTGTATTAAGGCAGATGGTTGAAAGTATACACTTGAAGTGAAATCCAGCATTCCATGTAAAAATAAAATCTGACAGTTACAGATTATTATTTGTATGTTCTTCCAATAATAATTATCAAGGATAGTGCCTATAAAGTGAATAGGTTCTTTATCCCAAACGCTGTGTTCTCATTTTACTGATGAGGACACCTGAGGTTAGTCATCCCCAGCGGTCAGGCAGATAAAGAGCTGGGATTTATAAGGGCTTTTGTAGCCATTGTATAGCTTTGTATATTGTATTTGTACATTTGGCCATTGTATAGCCACTGTCTAGGTAGTTTTTGTTTTTTCTTTTTTAATTTTTAATTATTTTTTATTTTTAAAGACTTTCTTTATTTGAGAGAGAGAGAGTGCCAGCATATGCGTGAGAGAGCACAAACCCTGGGGGCTGGGGTAGGGCAGCGAAGAGGGAAAGGGAGAAGCAGGCCTCCTGCTGAGCAGGGAACCCTACTTGGGACACCATCCCAGGAGCCCAGGACCTGAGCCGAAGGGAGGTACCCAACCATCTTGAGCCACCCAGGTACCCCTGTTTGTTTTTTTAAATGAAAGACCCAAAGTCTATGAAGACGTAGTGTGTTAAATTAGGTAGAGTCTCAGGGCTTTTTGTGTAGAAGTAAAACACTTTTGCTATTATTAGCTTTTTTGGATACTTTGAAAGGTAGAATTTATAGTTTCTGCAATTATAAATCATTTAGTGAAAACGGAGAAGTAATTTTTCCTTCTTACTTTCACTGCCCCTTCTGTTTCTCTCAAGGCACTCACCCCATTTTCTCTTGCTGTACAGTTGGCCCTTGAACAACATGAGGGTTAAGGGCACCAACCCCCACTCAGTTGAAAATCCACGTGTAACTTTTGACTCCCTCCACCCCCTAAAACTTGGCTACTAACAGCCTACCGTTGACCCTAAGCCTTACTGGTTACACAGTCAAGTAACATATTTTGTATGTTATATGTATTATATGCTGTGTTATAATAATAAGGTATTATTATATAGGTATATATATATATAAGGTATAATTAATAAGGTAAGCTAGAGAAAAGAGTGCTAAAATCATAAGAGAAAATACATTTATAGTACTGTGTTGTATTAATCTGCATGTTAGTGGACCCATGTATTTCAAGCAGGTGTTGTTCAAGGGTCAACTGTAATCATTTTTGCACATGACATGTGACAGATGGTGAGCATTGTAGTCATGAGCTTTGTGGCTTTTTTGTGTTGTGGAAAGCAGATTGTAATTGGTGTTATCTTGATTTGTGAATTTTGTCTCTTACTGATTGTAAGTCCTTTGGGTATGACTTTCTACCTTTCTGAACCTTGATTTACTCATTGTGAGGTATTTCATGTGTATTTTGTAAGCAAATATTTATGAAATAAAAAATTATTCACCTTCAGAGTGGCCTTAAGTAAATGCCATTTGAAAGAATGGCCAGTTAGAGCAGTGTTACCTCTGTAATGCTGTATGACTGGAGGACATTAGATAACTCTTGATTTATTGGTCAAACCATTATCTTATTGCTTATTGTTTTCTCCTCCAAAGAGCTATATCCTTAGGTGATGAACTGTATAACATTAAAATCTGTTTACATAAGTGGTTCTTAGACTCCATTTGATGTCAGAATCGCTTGAACATGTTAAAAAAGAGCTTGTGCGCGTGATCATTCTGATGCAGAGTATCTAGAGGGTGGCC